AACTCTACCCGAGTTCGAATTATCTCATTCATGTTTACAATATCAGTATGTGGACAACACACCAACCATTCATTATTTCAGTAGCATATACACCTTATAATCAAATTACTTTAGTACAACTCTGAGAATAGCACATTCATATAAAACAAAAATAAAACTGTGTGAATAAACAAACTTCATCAACCCGCTCCAAAATACGATAATGCACATAGGCGTCGGAAGCAAATTGAAAGTGGTGGGGGGGAGGGGGGAGGTAATTGAAAGGGGGGCTAAACAAACAAAAAAAGGTAAGCCCCAATTTTCAATGCCTATATTATGTCTATCTTTGCAAAAAAGTGGGGGCTAAGCCCCCCTAGCCCCCCCCCCCCCGGTTCCGACGCCTATGATGCATGATAACATATTACAGACATTGACCCTATTTGATAGAAATCAACCAGCTTCAAGCTCACACATATATAGTAAAATATTAGTCATTGACTCAGAATGATTAAACACTGTTGTAGATAAAATAAAAAGTTACACCATGTAACCTAACATTTCTATTAATACATCATTTAAAAAGGGGGGGGGGGGTCACATGCACTACACTGCCCCTCTTTTAAACCGTTCATGTCCTCATGAACATCAAATATCTACCATAACAACCACACATATAAGACAAAGACATCCACACTCATAGAACTATATTACAACACATTCTCACCAAATACTATGTACAAAATAAAGATAATATATCTTGCATACAACATTCACGCAACAAAAAGAAAAATAACCCCCCCCCCCCCCCCAAAAAAAATAAAGTATACAAAGTGTCAGACATGCATCAAACTCTCAAAATCAAAAGTTAGACAAGACATATAACTGTGACATCTAAAACGATTCATGCCAACTAAAATATATAACCTCTGTATCTCACAGCAACACAAGCCATTCCCATGGTAACAGAAGACATGCATACCCATGCTAACAAAATTAATCAAGCATCCTCTAAAGGTTTGTATTATGCTAAAAATATCATAAGGACAACATAAAACCCCTGGTGATTAATCGTCATTAATACACCTAAATTTGCGGAGCCAATCGTCATTGTACTACCGACTTAAGTATATCTAATTTTACGGGCAATTAGTAACCAATTGTATAGAGAATATACAAATTCTCTAGCTAATAACATCTTATTTTAATCCACCACAACTAAAACAATAATTCACACATCAAATATCTAGATGCAGGCAGTGCTCCAACAAATCAAATACATATATCAGTTTACATTAAATGATCCTTACGTAGTGTAGACATTATTATGTGTAGACATCATCCATCAAACAAAATCTGAACATACAATATATGCAGAGTCATAATTACATAGTACTTATAAGTTCTAAAAGAATTAAATACATTCGTGTACAAAATAAATTTTAATTACAAAACCATGCCATGAAACACACTACTCCTATGGGTTGGGAAGGGATCCTTTATAATGAGAATATAAATTCATACTTACCTTGCTTATCAATAATTTCACAGATTCATCATGGACGTGGCCAAGGCCGAAAAAAAGGGAAGGGTTTTTCAAAGCACTCTATGCGACTTTAAAAAATTAAGAAGTACGCCATCAAACACTATCTCAAGACCCATGTGGTAAAAGATGAGGTGCCCTATACATGCAAACGCTGATTTCGTATCCCTCTCGGAGAAGGAGCTGCTCGTACATGGCAAATGGTATGGGCCCCACAAGGGAACAGACATTCCGGTGGAGATGGTTCAGGCCAGTAAGCCTTTTGTCTGGAGAGAAGACCTATTGTCTAGATGGGAGCAGGCAGCTTCCCTAGCGTACTGGATGAATATAGGAGCCAAGAAGGGTAAAGATGTCGACAGCGATGGAACATCATCTTTTGGAGGAAGCAGCGGAGCTTGTCCCTGCAGAGACAGTGATAAGTCCTACTGCAGAGGTGGTGATATTTTGCCAGAACCGTTGGGGAAGGAAGAGACGGTCTTGGATGGAGAAAAACATGAGGTAGGAGTTACAGGCGGAGGTGAAGAGGCAGGGGGAACGCCAAGTGGCAACACTTAGAGAACAGACAACGGCGGTGCAGGAGCTTACAAAGACTTTGAATAATTATTTTTACAGCAATGGACCGAAGCGGGGTCTCACTCCGCAGCCTGAAGACAGACTCCAGCGCGACGTACCAGATCTCCTAGACGACCGATGCCGTACAACCAGGGAAGGTTTAGGCCCCAGTTAGTTCTAAGAGCCAAACAGTCAATGCCACATAAGAGAAAGATGGAGAACCATAAAAGAGAAAGGGAGAGAGAGAAAGGAGACGCTTTTTCGGAAGTCACGATCTAGGTCACCTTCACCGTTAAAGAAGGTGAAATCTACCGTGGTTAAATGTGATAAGTAAACTGACTTTATAAATAGATTGATAGAAATGAATATATTTAATGGGGTTTTATATGTAGGTCTGGGATGGTGTGTGGATTTTAGAATTGTGTATATTTGGCATTTATTAATGCTTGTTGATTATAAATACAATAGAACTTATAAGTACTATGTAGTTATGACTTTGCATATATTGTATATATTCTCTAAACTATTCAATACTATCATCTTACTTTAAAAAATTCCCCACTTTGGACCCCAAAGAAACATTTACTAATTCATATATCCAACTTTGCTGTAATTCAATAGCATCTAGCTCATTTAGATATCCAACAGTGACACAATACAATAGACTAATCGAACACCCCTTTTATTCATAGACTAGTGAGCATGAAACTACATGGTGCTAAAATGTCACTTCAATCGTCTCCATTGTACTAAACAGTCATGAAATCAAACGAGGAATATAATTTTTAAATCCAATGTAAATTTAGAATGGTTCAGATGTTTTTGAATACTTTTGTCCTGAAAGCAGAAGAAAACTACAGAATTTTGATTAAGGGTTGGAAATTTATCATTACTTATAATATGACGATTTGTTGAGGAAAAGTGTTTGGATCTTATGGATTTCCATTAGGACAATACTTCTAGTAGCGTTAATACAGATGAAAAGATTGTCGGTGTTATGCAGGACCTGCTTTAAAAATATTCCATTTCAAGATCTGCAATAAAAATGGTGTCAAAAAATAGACTGGCTGATAGACAGATGAACCACGAATAATCTGAGAGGATTTGATATAACGGACCCCTTGAAATAATATTCAGCAGCAGGAAGTGATGTGGTTTAAGGTTCAAGGTTAACATGTATTCATAAGCGTGTCAAAAAGTCATGCTTTCGAACGTTAAGACCGGAAACATTTCTGTAAAAATACCATCGGATAAGATTTGGATATTTTATTGACGAAAAGAGTCCAACAGTGTGCAAAATTCGGAGAATTGTTATTTTTGTGAGCATTGGAAGTGCATTTTAACTCGATTCTAATGGTGTGAAAAATGCGAAGTAATTAATTCCGTGTATATTGGAAATAAATTCTAATAGTGGGGCAAATTTGGAGTAATAATCATTTTTCATATGGCATGGAAATACAATTTTAAACTCTTGTATCTCTTTTGTTCATTGCTTAATTATGTTTTTATGCACAATTGGATATTTAAATATCCGACCGATAGGCAGTTGCATATATTTGAATATCCAACTGATGGCCAGTTGGATCTTTAAATATTCAACTAGTGCTGGTTGAATCGGCAAAATACACGTAGACTAATGACAATGGGTGCCGTCATTGAAGTTTTTTAAGAAGCCGTTAACTTAGATTCATCGTCTTCTTTAAGATTTTATTAATATATTTTCCGTACATTTCCTATTTAATTGATACCGCTGTATATTTATATGCAAAAACATCGGAGGGTAATGTAAGGGTCTTAACAAGTCGATCTAGTACAAGGGCATACTCTCAATGGATCATAGTAAGCTTTTACAAAAAAAAACTGTAGAAGAATTAAGGTATTTGAAAAGTGCTGCAATCCTGGTGAAATCTTGATAATGAATTAATTATATCTATATTTAATGCCGTTGACCAGCAAAAAATTTTGGATGCGGTCATACAAACTTGATTTTAAGAATGAAATAGCAGAATCTTTAGTGTATAGGATCGCAGCACTTTTAAGAAACTACAATGCGTGTTGAAAATATTCATAAACTTAACTTACAGTTTTAACTTGGTTATGCACTAGTGAAATTTATAGGTGACCTCAGTACTGCAAGTATATGTGCTAAAATCACGTGACTGCCACATTATGTGACAATTCTAAATATAAAATCTAATCGTCCCCAATAAGTACTTAATAAAGATAATTACATATGTGACCGTAACTGGCAAAATGGGCCAAGATGAGGAAAATTCACATTTTCTTCTTATTTCATTTGTATGAAAGTCTAGAATGAAATATATGGAGATGGCGAACAGTATTCAAGCTCAAAAGTCCATTAAACAATACAAAATAGGAGCAGAGCAAACAGACCTCCAAACATCAGGGGTGGGATCAGGTGCCATGGAGGAGTGAGCATCCCCTCTCAAGCGGTCACACCCGCCGTGTGCTCCTTGTCATGAACAAAGATCCAAAATATTTTTTGAAAAATTCCAACCCTAAGGGAAACTATGCCAATTTAAATGTGTCAACAATTTTTGGCGCATTTTCTTTGCTGCAAGAATTTAGCAAACGCATTGTTTTTTTTACATTTCTAAACAAAGTACTGATATTCGTTTGTTTTATATTTATATGTATATATATTTTTTTCATAAGAACTTTATGAATGAAGCATATCAAATAAATACTGCTTTGATTTCTTAGGTTAGTATATTTCACAAGCATGTTGCCATGGTAACAATAACAGAATCATGCTAATTAAAGACTTTCAATGTTTTTTTTAAAAGACAACACTATCGTACTGGTGATAATTTCATAAATAAGAAATGGATGACATAAAAACATATAAATAAATATACATTTGTACAATTTTTCATATTTTCAAAAGAAATATAAGAAGGTATATATTGATAGTACAATTAACATACAATTTTTAAAAAACTAATGAATGTCAATTACAGGTAGTAAAAGTTGTACAATGTGGTATTACTACATGTTCGACAACAATGTTGTGTTGAAAGTTCACTGAATGGTATCCTGTTATATCAAAGAGGGAATGATTTTTGTGATTGGTCTTCAGATGTAATGTAGTCTTGCATTAGCAGGCTTGCCCTTTTCTTTATCTATAAGAGTAATAACCTCAGGTTAGGGATGCACAGACCTTGAACAGCATCTTTTGCAGCATCTGATGAGCAGAATTCTCTGATATACCTGTATCCCTGTCTTCCAATATCAAACCTTCTCTCTGCGATATGATAGTATTTAGTTAAACGTTTCAAAAGTCTGAAAAAATTCTGAAGAGTTGTCACTGGTGTTTTCCAATCATAAAACACCACTGGCTTCTTCTGGTCCTGAACAATATGGTGAACGTTGTGTCCATGCTTACTTGACTTGTAAACAGATTCTGCTATCTGGAGAAAATAAAAAAAAATTTTTTCTTTCAATCAATATTCAAAAAACAATTTTACAACACTGAAAGGATGACTTTGACAACATAAAAATACCAATTCATTATCTGCATCTATAAATTTACCTCTGCTAAAATTTAGATATTTGAGTTTCTCCACTTAAGCTTCTATGCTCCAAAGTGCCAGTCAGGTTCAAACTTGGTATGGCCAGCAATTAATCATTGTTGAAAACTGTATCTGTTTATGCAGACCTAAATTGAATAATAATATATTTGAATAGTAGTGTTAAAAATTGTCATTGTTTGCAGAAAAAATAATCATCACTGTTAAGTAATTATATAGCTGCAGATTTGTAGCTCACTGGTCTGAAAAAATGGGGATGGACGACCAGAGAGCTACAGTGCCACCCATTGAAAAAAGTGTACATACGAGGGGTGATCAAAAAGTTCGCTAATTAATTGAATTACTCCCTTAAAGGAAATGAAATGAGGTTTCAGTGTTTATTATTTTTTAAAGTGGTCCTTTCCGATTTTAATGCACATCTGCCATTGTTCTGCCCATGCGCGAATCACGTGATCAAGGCAGTCACGTGTCATGCTCCGTAGCGGTCTGTTCAAAGAAGCTAAAAAATTTTCCGAGTCTTATATTTCTTACCAAGCAAGTTATTTTTTATAACAAGAACAGTCCATCTGTCAGAAATTGCCAAATCTCGACAATAGGATAGGTGGATAAGGATATCGCTTCCCTGAATTAACATGGTGACCATCACAACCCGAGTCCTCTGTCTTAGGAGCGTCGTTTATCCAATGTGGATAAAGTATGGGTGCCTTCTCTTTATCATATCTCATATGTTTAAAGTCTAAAGTAAACGATATTTTAGGGGTTTAATAATTATATTATTGTTAAGAAATTCAACTATTTTTCCAATTGTAGCTTGGCGATGTTTCATAACAAACTGCTCAACTAAGGACACATCTTTTCCCCGACTTGCATTCGCTGGGCAACAGAACAAACATTCTTTTTAACCCTCTCCCTGCCTTCACTAAAATAATCAATCTAATTAATGATTGAACTTCTGGTAAGTCTATCGTCTTCATAAACATTGTACAAATTATCATATTCTATTGCAAAGGAATTTCCAAGATATAACATTAAACTTTACAGCCGTTCGTTTCTCGAGTACGACTGAGTCAACCATTTTTGTCACAAGTCACTTACATATTGACGTCATTTTCACTTTGTGACATCACAAACACGGAGCAAAACATTATTTAATATTTGTTATTTATAGAACATGTGTATGACTATACGTGTACCAAATTTCATGCTGATCTGAATTGTGGTTTTGTAAATATTGAGATAGTTCGCGAACTTTTTGATCACCCCTCGTATATTGCGCACAAAAAAGTGTGCCGTTTTTCGGTTTATTTCTCCGTACATTGTGTATATTTCTAAATCTTACTCATTGTGTGTTGCTAACATATTCTATTACTACTTTCACAACAAAACTGCATGTACAAGTCATGCACGAAGCGCTGTGGACCGAATTGTCTTGCCACTCAAAATGGCAATATAAATAGGCGAAATTTTCGATGGTCTCAATTTCAGGCCCAGGAGAGCTATAAACAACGGTTTGTGGAAATGTTTTGTTATGGAAGTAGTACAAGAATATGCTAGGAACATAGTAAAAACTTGAGATGTCTGCATAAATAAACGGAGAAATAAATCGAGAAACGGCGCACTTTTTTGTACGCAATAAATATACACTTTTTTCAATGGGTGGCACTGTAGCTCTCTGGTTGTCCATCCCAATTTTTTCAGACCAGTGAGCTACTGATCTGCAGCTAGTAATAATAATGTACTTTCAAGTAATGATATGAAAAGTTTGTCATACAGAATACAATCTCACTATAAAAGCTATAACAATTTTCTAAGCACAAGATCTTTAAGTCTTAAAGAAAATAAGTTCTATTAAAACAGTTTCTCTACAAAGCAAATAAATACATGTATATTCGAACTTTGGTATCTTGAACATCGATCTCAAACTCTTGGATGCCTCGAAGTTTTTTTCTCTCAGTCCCATAGAGTTCGAGATAATCAGGTTTGACTGTTTAATATGTTTTCAACAAGTACATGTACAACCAGTTTTTATTTTTAAAAAATCAAATGTACCTGTCATAAATCTCCATAATCCATAACACAGAGCTGTGTTGTTTCTTTTCTGCAGTTGTCCAAGTGAAATCCCCTTCTTCACCATAGTCATATTACGTGAAATAGTAAAGCTCTATGTTAACTATTATACTGTTTGCTCCCTTGCAATTTGTCTCTCCTTCTTCCACCAATTAAAATATTTTCTTTCCTGATAAAAAGAATCAAGTGCATGAAATGACTTGAAAATATTCTATTAACAAAAAGTCAATACGTTAACTTTTGTCTCCTGTTGTCACTACTTCTACTAAATAATATTTTGTCAATGTTCAAATCTATATCAATTAAGCATTTACTAATAGTTAATTATTTTGCAGCATTCTGAACTTAACATTTTTATCTATTACTGGCACCACTCAATGTTTAGACCCTCTTCACAGACAATATTTAAACAAAAACTAAGCTGAACATGAACTTTCAGAGCTCATGCCCAAAAAACACTGCATTCCTTAGGTGTCCTAAAGTAACGAAAGCAGGTCCTACATGCTGGGCATGATTGGTATGTGTTGCTGGGCATAAATCCCAAGAATAATATAAACTTCCACAGACATACTAATTATACCTAAAATTTTGGAGAAATATTACTGCCCCAGTATATAATATCTTAAGTGTCACAATATTCATAAACACTGTCCGGATATTAATAAATTTACAATGTATTTGTGTTATGTCTAATAAAAAAAAAACTTGACATGTTTAATACACATTAATGCTTCGATCTAAAATCTGTAGAGTCATGCAAGCGTGAAAAATATGACAAAAAGCATATTTATAATCATGATAATTGTTAATTTTTAACTCTAAAGTACATATGTAAATAATTGTAGACTTCTTTTAATTTCAAGCTTAGTACCTTAATTGAGCATCTCTTTTAAGTATATTTACTGCTGTGAAAATTCATAAAATAAGTATTACTTGAAATATATATAAGTACCTTGTCTTTTCATTTCCTTGTTTAATAAAGAATACATGTATTTCTCTCAGCTTTCTGTACACTGCAGTCTGAATCGGCACCTCTGTTTTTCGGCTAGCTGAATGTGCGCATTGTATAACTCAAGTACACTGGTTTTCCCTTCCACTTTTAGAAAGTAGATTTGCAAACTCTTGACTCTTCTGACATAGATCTGTGAGATTATTTTGTAGGGACAGAGGTTAGTTAACCTTCCAAGAAGAGGTAGAGCACTGTCTCTAGCATGGCAACAATTTTTTTTTTTTTGCATTCTCTGTGTAGGACAAACTAAGCGATGGGGGTTTACCAACTCTAACATGAACACGTGGAATGGAACCATCAACATCTAAACATTTGCTATCGCTAACATTTCTTCTCAATAGTATACAATATAAAAACCAAAACGTTTTCCTACATATATGCCTTGACAGAATTCCTGAAATGGTCTTTCTCAAATCTTGTGGTTTTTGCCTCTGTGTATAAGCTCTTCTATGAGCAAATCGTTGAGATTTGATTACATCTTATTGTCTAATTCTTCTCGAGATAACGTATTTTCGATATTCTAACATTTCATCATCAGTCAACCTTGACATTACCCTGTTTGTCATTAAATTTAGTACAACCACAAGTTTCGTTTGTAAATTAAGCCTATTTAATATATTTAGATTTATCTTTAAGTACTGTAAACTACCCATTCATAATCAGAGTTTTACTGTTATACTTTCACTTTCAACATTCACTAAACTTAGTTCATTTACAAACTCACAAACTCTTCAACATGATAATCGCTTAATTCAGGGACTTTCCTCTAACTGTTTGGCTCATGATTATTTCATCAACATCACTTTAAACTTGCTAATTTCCGACAAGATTAACTCCTCTGTTCATTGTTGACGACACATGTCGTATGCGTATATCGAGCCCGATTGTTTACCTACCTGATATATGATAAGTGTGACAAAAAAACCGTTGATTTTGTGTAAATTGAGAATAATATACGAATTACACTATAAAGAAACGTATTTTAATTACTAAATTACCAAAGATCAAAAGGAAAAGATCAGATAATTTCTTTTTTACAAAATGAAAAAAACGCGGTTTTAGAAAACACGTGGACTTTATGACGTTTTTTCTCTGTTACGTTTTTGCCGCTTCTTGCCCCTTTTTCCAAGTCGCGGTCACATATGTCAGATATAAATGAAGAACTGAAAAGGTTCGCCATCCTTATTAAGAATATATTTTTTTAAATCACAAAAATTGTCGATATTTCCATTAGTACCTTAACTGTACTGCAAATCAAAAATTACGCCAATCAAAGTTTATCAATTTTTTTTTTAACATAGTTTCGATTTGTAAATCGTATTCACACTTCCGGAAAATACTCTCAGGGGCAAAATATGTTTTTCTTTTCTGAACTACAACGCATTCAATAAATTTATATGTGGATACAATTCTTGATATTTGTGATCGTTTTCCAAACATGTCGAAAAGTTCATCAATGTTTACACCCTGAAGATTTTCACACCCTGATGCGGTTGTCGCTCGACATAATAAATACGCCACTTTGAGTAGGCGGAGAGGAAACAGGGATGGATAAGGGTGCTTGTAAACATGGCTATATGTGTCGACAGTGTTTTGAATAGCCCTACTCATCTGCATTTTCTTCCTGTCCCGAAAATCGGTGATTTACAGCAAGGAATTCACATATTTGTGGCCTGTTAGGGACATAATTTAGGAATCAACGAATTTGTTTTTAGAAAGGATGCTGGTTCCTGTTACCCCGATTGAGTGATTTGTGTAAATTCTACAGAGGCCACACTTTTTGCTGAGTTTAGACATGAAGAAGCTGAGGGAATCTTTACCACAGGGTTGTTTAGTGTACCAAAAGGGGTCACCATTTAAGAATGTTTCGCGTGGTCGCTGCCACAGACGGGTATTTTCCAGATTCCGTTTTGTAAGATATTTTTAAAGGATGCTACTGGAGAGCTGCTAGGTGATTCTTTAATTTCAACCATGCAGACATCAACATTTTTTTTATTGTTCGATCTGCTATTTTTGATTAGTTCATCTCTGGCCTTGTTCATTATAACTATACACTTAGTTTCTTTGCTTTATAACCACATGAACCAGGAGCAGAAAAAAAGTATTTTCAAAGAAATTATGCTTTTTTACTATACAATCAATAGAGCCTCCCCCCCAACCCTGGGGCCATGAATTTCACAATTTTAGAAAAATTAATGCATCCGTGTGCATCTTAACCATGCACTTAGTTTGTTTAAATAATACCCAGGAGCAGAGAGAAGAAGATTTTCAAAGAATTAATGCATTTTCACTATATAATCAATAGAGCCACGGCCTAACACCAGAACCCCTGACCCAGGGGCCATGAAATTCAAAAAATTTGGAGAAAGAATCACTGCTTATCATAACCATGCACCGAGTTTGTTTAAATAATACCCAGGAGCAGAAAAGATTTTCAAAGAATTAATGCATTTTCACTATATAATCAATAGAGCCCCGCCCTAACACCATAACCCCTGACCGAAGGGCCATGAATTTCAAAATTTTGGAAAAGGCAATATGATCACAATAAAAGGCAATAAATTCACTATATGATCTATATATCCCCACCCTTGCACCAGAACGCCTGACCCTGGGGCCATGAATTTCACAATTTTGCTAGAGGGCTCAATGCTTATAACAATCATGCCAACATTTTGACTGCTTGATGTCCAGGAGTAAAGAAGATTTTTAAAGATTGCATTAATTTTGGTGGTTTTAGCCCCACCCCTCAGGCCCGGGGGGGGGGGGGGAGGGGGAGCAGAGAGAATGAAATTCACAATTTTTGTTCTCCTTCACCAATAGATGCTATATGCTAAAATTGGTTTTAGAACACCTAGAGGAAAGTCATATATATTAGTCATTGCCGATTATTTCATAAGATGGACTGAGGCTTTTATCCTTCCAAGTATCGAGGCAAAAACAGTAGCAAAAGTATTTCTGAGAGAGTTTATGTGTAGATTTGGTATTCCCGGTCAAGGACATACTGATCAAGGTACACAATTTGAATGATTGATTGATTGATTGTATATTGTTTTACGTCCCATTCGAGAATTTTTCACTCATATAGAGACGTCACCATATATCGGTGAAGGGCTTCAAATTTTGACCTTTACTCGGCACTCAGGGCCATTGAGCAGTGAGGGATCTTTATCGTGCCAACGCCTGCCGTGACACGGGGCCTCGATTTTTAAGGTCTCATCCGAAGGACCCGCAACTTTCACTTCAAAGTTCCGAGCGCATGGCGAAGGAACAATTGCTACCTATTTTTTATCGACTTAGGTCTGTCGCGGCCGAGATTCGAACTCACGACCTCATGATCACGGAGCGAGCGCTCTACCGACTGAGCTACCGTGAACGGTACAATTTGAATGGAAATTGTTTCAAGAGATGTGTAAAACACTCAGAATTGATAACATCAAGAACAACCCCCTTTTAAAACGGGCTTGTTAAACGTTTAAACAGGACACTCAAAGCTATGCTTACATGAACACAATATGTGTCAATTACTCACAAAAAGTTGGATATATATCTACTGGCATACATATCTTCAGTTCATGAGAGCCTAGGAACCAGTCCAAGTTTAATAATTTTAGGAAGGAACCAGAACTGCCTGTGGATTTCTTATTTAGTAGTCCTACAACATATTCCAAATGTCATTATTCCCTTTGCTCATATGTACAACATTTACAAACATCTCTGAGTGAGATACATAAGCTAACTGAGAATGAATCGATTAAAGCTAGTGACAGGCAGAAACGTCATTATGATCATAATGCAAAACAAGTGTCCTTCAAAATAAGAGACTCTGGCTTTGTAATAAACAGCAAACGAGTGGCATCTACCTAAAATTTACTAAAACTTGGGAGGAACCTTATACCATCATTCAAAAACTTGAAGATCTAGTATATTAGTTTTAAAGCAATAACAATGATGTTAAAAGTGTACATCATAACTTTCTCAGTAAGTGTTATAGAAAACTGTAGAAAATCAGAAATAATCAGAAAACAGCTGATATCACATAATTATGATCATATTCTGTTATCAGATGAAAAGAACGAGGGCGCTTTTAGTTGAGGAATCAGGGCGCACTTGAAAAGTGAAAACTTTATTGAACTGTCAAATAAATTTTTAACATTCTTTTGATGTATTATGTTCCTACAAAATAGGAAAGGAAAATATTTTCCCTATAGAGCAGGACTGTAGTTGGCGACTAATTTTGTCGTCATGGCGCCTAAAAAATATATGATTGGTGCCTAAAAATTTTTCTATAAGTCGCCAAATTGGCAACCATTTTTAACTGACTTGGTGATCGTCAAATTACTGAAGTATAAACGCAGAAAGTGCAGAAAATAAGTTTTAAAGTTAGCAAAGGACATATCCCTATATAGTGAATAATATCAGTTTTAAATTGGCGCCTAACAATTATTTGCCTGGTGACTAAAAGTTTGAAATGGCGACTAAATTTTTTTTATTACGAGCTAGTTGCGCCAAAATTTTAGAGGTCACATAGAGGCCTGTAGTGTGTTTTGATTTCCTTAAAAATAGCTTGAATCATGGCTAGGTGAGTCAATTGGTACAAAATGTTACATTTTTAAACACGTCCGTCTTAAAATTTGCCTTCTCTGGGTCAACTCTCTACGATTTTAAACACATTTGCGTGCGTTTGTATAAAAAAAAAAACGAACAAATATTTGTAAAAAAAAAAAAAATGGAGAGAAGACCCAGAGATTATAAAAATGAACGTTTTCCAAAAAACACCAATGTGTAAATGCGTTGCTTCTTTCTCATTTTAAATTCCAGAGAGTTTGTGTAGCGATGATACTAAATAGTATGCGTTACCAGTCCAGTCCACATAAGAGTCGAGAAGTTTCGGTTCGATCCTCGCACGGAGCATTTTATTATTTTTCTTTTTTATACAAACAATTGCAAGTCGTTTATCAGTTGAATTTTATTAACTGATATATAAAAGTTTTAAAAAAAAATAGATTTTAGATCAGTTGCACGGGGAGCGAAAGCAATTTTTCAAACCCACTGAAACTTCATTTCATATATTATACCCTAAAATCTTGTTAGTTGTGTATTATTTATATGAAGTGTTACTGTTCTATCGTAACTATTATGATAAGTGGATTAAATTATTTTATATTTGCAAGCTATTTCAATGTAAATCTAAACTTTTTCCTATGTGCGTAACTTTGTAAGGTGTATCCACTAATGGTCAGCCGACCAAATCGTGGACATTTAAACCATAAATGTTTCGTACACATGATTCCTGCAGATCTCACTTCAAGTCCGCCCACCTTCTTTTGTGTTAAAAGAAAAATTGATTTTACCTTTTACAGTGTCCTATCATCATCGATAATCATTTCAATGCCATTTTGGGGGGATGTGCCAGAAGGTTTAGCACCTGAGCCCAGCTGTAGAAACACCGCATGCAAAGATTAAATAGATACACAGTGCCCATGTGCCGTGCATATCTCCTTAAAGGGCACTTGGTAAGAGTCCACAGGATTCACCACAGTAGACCAATCCCCTATACCTGCGTCTTCACCTGTCCAAGCTCCTCTTACACTTTTACGTTCTCCTAGCTTGGATTTATCTTTGGATCCAGTTGATATCACTATAAAGGATTACTATCTCCTGGGGTATAATGTATAGACTACAGGCATCTTCGATCCACCACGGAAAATTGTGAGACGAGGTGTTCAGTCTGTGGATCCTGTCACTTCTACCATCAGTTCTCCTGTGACTGTGCCCATGCCAGCTGCGCCT